CTGCTTTTAAGGCTGTAACGCCATCCTTGTTTCGTGTGCAGCAGCAGAAGCAGCAGCAGCAGTAGCAGCAGCAGCAGTAGCAATAGCAGCAGCAGCCGCAGCAGCAATAGCAGCAGAAGACAGAGAAAGTTAGACAAAGACAGAGAGCAGCAAACAGAGACATTCGATGGAGACAGACAAACAAATAAAAACAAACACAACCTTAGGCCCCTCTCCTCCCGTTCACCAGCTAGCTAGCTAGCTATGCAGCTAGCTAGTCATCTATGCAGCTAGCTATGAATCGAGCTAGCTAGCTAGGTAGCTAGCTAGGCGGTTATTGAGCTGGCTAGCTAGCTATGTAGACAGCTATCTAACTAGCTAGCTAGCCACCAGTAAACCTGTGGGGTGGACAGCGCTAATGCATTTTTGCTGCTAGCTATCTATCTAGCTCTCTAGCTAGCTAGCTGCATATATATATATATATATATAGCTCTCCCTCTCCGTATATATATATAATTATACATATATATACATAATTATATATATAATTATATATATATTTATATATATAATTATATATATATATTTATATATATAATTATATATATATAGCTAGGCAGCATATTAGTATCAAGGGACAATCTGCAGGAGATACAGCAGAAGAGAAATACATATATATATATATATATTATTTATTAATCATTTGTTTGCTGCTGCTGAGGTGTATAGGCAGCTGCATGCAAGCCAAAGCCCCAACTGGCGCCGCATGCATACCTCTTTAGCAAATTAATTAAAGAAATAAATAATTAAAATATTTATTTTTATTTATTTAGAAAATTAATTAAATATAAGCAGGAAATAGAAGGCTGTACAGTAGCAGCAGCAGTAGAAGCAGCGACAGCAGCAACAGCAGCAACAACACCAGCAGCAGCAACAGCAGCAGCTGCTGCTGCAGGCTGTGTTAAGAGATTATACAGCATTTTTTTTTCGGTGTTTGTTTTTATCTATTGTTTTTAAATCCATAGACAACAAAACCCTAAACCCTAAACCCTAAACTGCAGTGGTTGGAGGGTCTGCGGATGCCTATATTCAAACCCCTAAACCCTAAACCCTAAACCCTAAATAATGACTTTCTCGCCGATGTTCGCAGGCAGTTTGTGGCTTTAGAGTTTTCCTGAGGCCAGTAAGGCCTCAGGGCTGTGTTCAGGGTTTATTGTTTAAGGTTTAGGGTTTAGGGTTTAGGGTTTAGGGTTTAGGGTTTAGGGTTTAGGGTTTAGCGAGATGGAGGGCCCTAAGACGGACAGCTTCATCAGCGGCTTCCCTCCCCCGCCATATTTCTGGGTAGACTGCATGCATTCTGCATGCACTGAAGAGGAGCAGCAGCAGCAACAGCAGCAGCAGCAACAGCAGCAGCAGCAACAGCAGCAGCAGCAGCAGCAGCAGCACGGCCATCATCATCATCATCATCATCATCATCGTCACCACCACCATCACCATCAGCAGCAGCAGCAGGATCCAGAGCAGCAACCACAGCAGCAGCAGCAGCAGCAACCACAGCAGCAACAGCATCAGCAGCAGCAGCAACAGCAGCATCAGCAGCAGCAGCAGCAGCAGTTTTGTCGGCCTCCTCCTCGCTTTATTGAGGATTACTTTTCATCATTTGGCGTTGTAAATGCGCTGTCTCCTCCTGATGTTTGTTTAGATGAAGATAGCTGCCTATACAGTGCAAATGAAAGCCCTAAGAAGGAGTTTATTAAGCTGTTTTCTTGTTTTGTTGCTGCATGCATGCAGCTGCTAAACGACTTGGCTATATGTAGCAATGATATTAGTAATGACTTAAGAAAAGCCTTACGCATCTATAAAAACCTGCTTTATTTGCTGCTGCTGCTGCGGCAGCAGCAAGCGCAGCAGCAAATCATTAATACACTCAAACTCCAGCTGCGCAAGCGAAGGCAAGCAGCAGATAAATTAAAGTTAGCCCTAGTAAACTCTATTAAAGATATGCATCATGCGCTGCAGCTTGCTGCTGCTGCTCCCGCTGCTGCTCCTGCTGCTGCTCATGCTCCTGCTGCTGCTGCTGCTGCTAACACCAGCAGCAGCAGCAGCAGCAGCAGTGGGGAAGCAGCCAGCAGCTCGTAGCTGCTAATTTTCTTTCCTAAGACATTTTTTCGCTCTTTGTTTCTTCTGAAGCTAGCAGCTGCTGCTGCTGCAGCAGCAAAGCCAGCATCGAGAACAGCAGCAGCAGCAGCAGTGGCAGCAAAGACAGCAGCACTTCGTGTTTAAGCCCTTCCTTAGCTAGCTATACTGTTGGTTCAGTTGTCTGTCTATATATTTAGCTAGCTAGCTAGCTAGCTAGCTAAATATATAGATAGATAGATAGATAGCCAGCTATAATACAACTGGCTAGCTAGGTGCACGACAGCTAGCTAGCCAGCTGCCTTACAACTACCTAGCTAGCTATCTGTCTAGCTAGCTAGCTGGCTAGCTAGCTAGACATAGAGAATGCGGGGCGTGGAGTCCTCAGGCGGGCGATGATATCAAAAGAAAATACGCAGCTCTCACCAGCTGTCCTTAAGAAGGGAGATGAGGCAGCTAGCTAGCTAGCTAGTAGCCAGCTAGCTAGACAGCTAGCTAGCTCGACAGCCAGCTAGCTAGCCAGTAGCTAGCTAGACAGCTAGCTAGCTAGATAGATAGATACATAGGTAAATGGCTAGCTAGCCAATCAAATAGCAAGCTAGCTAACCGAACAGCTAGCTAGCTAGCTAACTAGCTGTTTACCTAGCTAACAGAACAGCTAGCTAGCCAAGCAGCTAGCTAGCTAAATCGTTAGCTCAGTCAGCCGGACTGGCTTCTCGCCAGCTGGCTGGCTAGCTACCCGACTAGCTAGCTGAGTAGCTAGATGAGTAGCTAGCTGGCTAGCTAGCTGCCTTGCTGGCTAGCTAGCTAGCCAGTGGTTTGGCTAGCCAGAGCCCCGCAGGACCCCAGCTACATGATGGTGCATCTCTTCTTCTTCTGCAGCAAATCAAACACGCAAAAAGGTACGCAGCTCTAATGCTGCTGCTGCTGCTGTTGCTGTTGCTGCTGTTGCTGCTGCTGTTGTGCAGAAGCAAGAGTTTACTTACAGTTTTCTTTGTTTGGGTTGTAGCACCTCCGCTGCTTTGCTGATGGCGTTGCTGCTGCTGCTGCTGTGCACGCAATAAAGCCTGCTGCTGCAGCAGCTGCTGCTGCTGTTGCTGCTGCTGTATCCTCGCCCGCTGCTGTTGCTCCCGGTGGAGGCGTTGCTGCTGCTGCTGCTGCTGCTGCTGCTGCCATTGTAACGTTCCTGAGTTTGCCCTGGTACTCCCCCACTGCAGCAGCAGCAGCAGCAACAACAACAACAGCAGCAGCAGCACCAGCAGCAGAGGAGATACGTGCAGTGGCGGCGACGGCAACAGCAACAATAGCAGCAGCAGCACCAGCAGCAGCAGCACCAGCAGCAGCAGCACCAGCAGCAACAGAACCAGCACCAGCAACACGAGTACCACCACCAGCACCAGCAGCAGCAGCAGCAGCAGCAGCAGCAACAGCAGCAGCAGCAGCAGCAGCAGCACCAGCACCACCACCACCAGCACCAGCAGCACCACCACCACCAGCACCACCAGCACCAGCAGCAGCAGCAGCAGCAGGAGCAGCAGCAGCAGCAGGAGCAGCAGCAGCAGCAGGAGCAGGAGCAGCAGGAGTCACCTGAATAGGCATGAAGTTGTGGTCGCAGAAGGTATTGTCTCCTTTGATATTATTTACTTCTTCCCACGCAATTTGCGGTGTCTCCTTGAAAGCCAAGTCGGTGCAGAGACAGTATATTGCTGTGTCTCTCTCGAGCTGCTGCAGCTGCTGCAGCAGAGCTTCCTCCTGTTGCTGCTGCTGCTGCTGCTGCTGCTGCTGTTGCTGGTGTGCATACTCATCCCCCTCCAAAAATTGCTGCTGCTCCACCTGCTGCTGCAGCTGATGCAGCTGCTGTAGCTGCTCCTGCACCTGCTGCAGCTGCTGCTCTGCTGCAGCAGAAGGACGCCTTACAATAACAGCAAAATGATTATTTATAAACAGCACACAAGGTACATATAAAGGCAGCGCAGGTGCTGCTGCTTCTGCTTCTGCTGCTGCTGCTCCTGCTGCTGCTGCTCTTGGGGTGTATCCCTGTCTCAACTCTCTTAACCCTGTTGCTGTCAGCTGCGAAGCAGACATAAGCAGAAAGTCTTCATAATGACGTCCCTCTAGCAGCAAAGCAGCTCTTGCTGCAGCATCCCACGTGTGCTGCACTTGGTCATGCTGCTGCTGCTGCTGCTGCTGCTGTTGTTGTTGCTGTTGCTGGTGCTGCGGGTCGTCCTGTTGCTGCTGCTGTTCCTGATTCTGCTGCTGCTGCTCCTGCTGCTGTTGCTGCTGCTGCTGGTGTTGCAGGTCTTCCTGCTGCTGCAAGATGTCCTGCAGCTGCTGCTGCTGCAGCTCTCCTTGCTGCAGCAGCTGCAGCAAGAAGGCGCCTTCTTCAGTTTTCTGCATTTCATGGATGAGCTGCCTATACACCGCAACACGCTCGACGAGTTGGTTATAACTCAGCTTCTCTATTACGCAAGCCCTGCAGCAGCAGCTCTCCCCACTGCTGCTGCTGCTGCTGCTGCTGCTGCTGGTAGCGGTGGTACGGCTGGCTTCTCTGGGCTCTTCGTTCTGCTGCTGTTGCTGCTGTTGCTGCTGCTGCACAGTTGCATCACCACCAGCAGCAGCATCACGAGCAGCAGCATGTGCAGCATCATCAGCAGCAGCTGCAGCTGCAGCAGCAGCAGCAGCAGCAGCAGGAGAACGATGTGTAGAATCTCTATCAGGTCTCCACCCATGCACCAGACGTATGTGCAGCAAATCAAACAGAGACAGCGCAGCACTAAACTCAATCCCCGATATGCTGCTGAAGTAAACATTTAAGTCTAAGCCCCGCAGCAGAGACGGCAGCAAATTCAATGCCTGCAGCAGCAGCAGCAGCAGCAGCAGCAACAGCAGCAGCAGCATTCAGGTCGAAGCCATGCAGCACAGATGGCAGCAAATTTAGTGCCTGCAGCAGTAGCAGCAACAACAGCAGCAACAACAGCAGCAAGAGCAGCAGCAGCAGCAGCAGAAAAAGGACACCAGCAGCAGTGGCAGCAGCAGCGCAAGCAGCAGCAGCAGCAACAACAGCAAAATCAACAGCAGCACAAGGAACTGCAGCAGCACAAGCAGCAGCAGCAGCAATGTCCGCAATAGCAGCAGCACCAGCACCAGCAGCAACCGCACCAGTACCAGCAGCAACCGCAGCAGCACCAGCAGCAACAGCAGCAGCACCAGCAGCAGCAGCAGCAGCAACAGCAGCAGCAGCAGCAACAGCAGCAGCAGCAGCAACAGCAGCAGCAGGATGACCTACATCAGCGACAGTGAAGGCATGTGCTTCAGGGCTTTCACCAGCAGCTGCATTTTGCTGCAGCAGCACTTTGGAGATTAGTTGCAGCAGCTCGCTGCTGCTGATACTCTGCTCCTGTTCCTGCTCTTCCTGCTGCTGCTGCCCCTGCTGCTGCTGCTGCTGCTGCTGCTGCTGAGGAAGCTCCAGCTCACCCTTTAAGATTAATGTGTTCGCAATTGCGAGCAGCGGACATGCACCGTTGTTCGCCTGCAGCAAAATGCGTCGTGGGGCCCCACATGCATATATTGTCTTAGTAGGGAACCACTCTTCTGCTGCTGCTGCTGCTGCTGCTGCTGCTGCTGCTGCTGCTTGTGGTGGTGCTGCTGCTGGTGCTGCTGCTGGTGATGCTGCTGCTTCTGCTGCTGTCTTCACGCCGTTACACGAAAACTCAGAACTGCTGTTGCTGTTGTTGTTGCTGCTGCTGCTGCTGCTGTTCTTGCTGTTATTGTTATTGCCTCCCCTGCTGCTGCTGCTGCTGCTGCTGCTATGCTGATCTCCATTAGGGGTGCTGTCTGAAGCAGAAGTTTGAGAGTGTTTCTCAACTGCAGCAGCAGCAGGTGCTGCTGCTGCTGCTGCTGCTGCTTGCGGCAAGGCTGCTGCTTCGCCTTTCTCCTCAACAGCAGCAGCTCTCCCGGGTGCTGCAGATGGAGGGACGGCCGCTGCTGCTGCTGCTGTTGTTGCTGCTGCTGCTGCAGCTGTTGCCTCTTGGTGCCGAGCCGTTGCTGCAGTCGCTGTGTCTCCTCCATCCTGCTGCTGCTGCAGTTCCTGCTGCTGCTGCTGCTGCTGCTGCTGCTGCTGCTGCTGCTGCTGCTGTGCAGCTTGCGGGTGCTGGCATTCTCGCTGCATCAGCAGCAGTTGCTGCTGCTGCTCTTCCTCCTCCTCCTCCTGCCGTTTATGCTGCTCCTGCTGCTGTTGCTGCTGTTGCTGCTGTTGCGGTTGTTGTTGCTGCTGCTGCTGTACACTTTTTCTAGCAAACGCTGCGCGGCTCCGAAGGGGAAGAGCTGCTGAGTTTGCTTCTGCTGCTGCTGCTGCTGCTGCAGGTGCTGCAGCTGCAGCAGGAGATCTCTCACTGTCTTTTATAGATGCTGTATCTGCTGCTTCTGTTGCTGCTGCTGCTGGTGGTTCTATTGCTGCTGTTTCTGCTGCTGGTGGCTCGGTTGCTGCCGTTGCTGCTGTTGTTGCTGCTGTTGCTGCTTCTGCTACTTCTGTTGCTGCTGCTGTTGCTGCTGCTGCTGCTTCCTTAGTAGTGTCTGCCACCCCACAACCTCCTTCGAGTGTACGGGCTCTCATCTGCTGCTGCTGCTGGCAGCAGCAGAAGCAGCGAGTTTTGCTGCTCTGCTCCTGCAGACGTGCTGATGCTACTGCTGCTGCAGATGGTGCTGCTGCTGCTGTTGCTGCTGCTGCACCTCAGACCTTTCTTGCTCCTGCTGCTGCAGTTGCTGCTGCAGTTGCTGCTGCAGTTGCTGCTGCTGCTGCAGCTGCCGCTGCACCCCAGACCTTCCTTGCTGCTACTGCTGCTGCACAGCTGCTCCTGCTGCTGGAGATCTGCAGCAAAAACCGCAGCACAAACTGCTGCTTGCAGCCAAACAAATTATATATACTCCTACACCCTAAACCCTAAACCCTAAACCCTAAACCCTAAACCCTAGGAAGATCTTCTATGGTGCATCTCCCCCTTACATATGAAAAAATGTAAAATAAATTTAATTAATTCAAATGTGCATGTAGACAACTCGTGCTCATGCTGCTGCTACAGCAGCAGCAGCAGCTGCTGCTGCTGCTGCTGCGGCTGCGGCAGCGACGCCCA